AATATATGATGTTAAGTATAATTCATTAAAAATAATATAAAACAATAACTACTCTGCTAGGTCATTAGAGACAACAATTCATTAATTTCTTGTCAAACAATTTATATAGCATCAAAAGTTTTGCCCAAATTGCCACAAAAAGCCAAGAAAAAAAAATTTGTTTGGTCATTACTTCGCTGCTTAACTTAGTGCTTCCACGTTCTGTACAACTACTCCCATGTTAAAATAATTGAAGTATAGAAGGAATAAATTTTCAGATATCTTACTTTATTTCCATGTTTAAATGTAATGTTATTGTGCTAAGCGTGGACTTCATGTGTAGACATTTTAAATTACCTGAAAATCTGCATATAGAAAACTCATAAACTTATCTACTCATTAATTAATATCAATTTTTTTTTCTTCCCTGAATTAAAATGGTCAATACAAATTATTTAGATTAACGCGTATGTGTTTTTTTTGTCAACCATTCACTTTCAGCCAACTATTCCTTTTAAGGAAGTCAAATTGTGCTTCTTTTCTACGGTCCTGCTGTCACCCTTGCCACCTAAGCTTTTGTTAATGCATTCATAGCTGTTTCAATAATTTACAACACATTGGACCAAGTACTAAGTGAAATATAACTTTATTAGAAAATAAAGGTTGGAGTTTAAAATATGTTATTTGATCGTGCAGCCTAGGGTAGGTTCAAGTAAAAAAAGGAGAATCAAGATTGATCAAGGGGATTGATGTTTTGTTACAAGTGTCAAATTGGTTGCTTATAACCAATGTGGGATTTGTAATTGTTACGAATCTTAAGGTGAAATGGTGAGAGTGTTTAAGACTTTATAAACTTTACATTAGTTGTATAGACAATCCATGTGGGACTTGTAACATTGCTACCCTTTTAAGGGCCGATGTCCATGACAACTTTCATTCTATCGACACTGACCCGACGGTAGTCATTTTCCTTTTGATGGCTTCACTCACTTGTCAGTATATATTCAGTACAACAACCATTTGGGAAGTATGACATCTTAATCTAACCTATAGGTAACCCTTTCCGCGGAAACAACTCTCAATAAAAGCATCAATTGTTACGAATCTTGAGGTCACCATTCCAAAAGCTAGCTCAAATGTTGGAGTGTTCAAGGCCTTATAAACTTCACGTTAGTTATATAGACAACCAATGTGAGACTTGTAACATGTTTCTTATATTGTAAAAGATAAAATTATCTCATATAATATGAGAAACATTAATCCTTTGATTAAGTTGCTCAAAGAGGATGAATTCAAGTTTTGGAAAGGACCTTTTGGATTAGAACTCAATAATTGTAATGTCACTTGATTTAGGATTAGTTTTATACTTATGCAGGTCTATCCTACTCGGTTCATGAGAATATAAAAAACTCTGATTCAACCATTGGAGTAATTACTAATAAGAGTTATGAAATAATTTTTTATTTATTTATAGAAAAAGCTTAATTTTATATATGTATATATATATATATATATATATATATATATATATATATATATATATTGGAAATAGAGCTTGATTATATTATTTTAATATTTAAAAGGATTTTCTTTTTACATTTAAAAAAAATTATTTCTGTATTTTTAAAAAATATTATATTATCTTTTTAGTAATGCATATCAAATAATAAAATATATAAACTGACTCATAAAAATTTATATTTTTATAAATTTGTAGCTTTTATTATTCAGTTTGTAATTTTTATTGCTTAGCATTGAATATTTGACAAAAAAGCTATAAATTGAAGAAAGATAATACTATTTTTTATGTAACAAGTAGATTCCCTTAAAAAGATATTAAGGTATCCTGTGAAGAAAAAAAATATAAGCCGTTAAATAGAAATTAAATAAAAAATAAAAAATTGACACGCTTTTCACCGCTTGCTTTCGATCTGAGGGAGTAATCATCTACAAAACATGATTTCATAAAATGATTTTGGAATATTTAATTATTTCATATTTTAATATATGAATTTTATTTTTAACCTAGTAAATGATCTAACATGTTACAATAATACGGTGCCAAACTTTCTTCTTCGTCTTCTTCTTAAATCTTGGAGTAATCTTATATATAACTATGATTTCAGATAATTGGAGGTTACACCCAAAGTTTTATGACTTGAATCCTTGTTATCTAAGTTACTAGTTTGGTATTTTTTTATTTATTTAAAGTCTTTTTCTCTCACATAACTCATATTAATTGGATTTCTTTTCTATATTAAGATTACTAACTTTCAGGTACTAGGTCCATTTTCATCTTTGTTTTGACTCTTTTCTCGCAAACATCATGATTGCATTTATGTATTTTCCTGTTAAGAATATTAATTTTAAATATTTGACATAATTTCCCTTTACCTTTGTCTGTTTTATGCTTAGCACATATTAATTACATTTATGTTTTCTTATTTTAAGATTCTGAGTTTGCATCAATTACATTAAATGACGCCCGGCATATATTGTCTCTAATAATATTTTTTTCCTTATTGGATATTCTTTTCGTGTATTTATAAAATTTATTTCCTTTTGGGTTATTTTTCAAAATATTTATCTTACTTATTTGATCGGTTCAAAAGATGTTGATCGTGACCATACCCGGTTGAACTTGGATCAACGGATGTTTGAGATGAATCTGAAGCGAGATTATCTCCGGTGCAGGATGGTTGTATTGGTATTGAAAGGCTTTGCTTGACTGAAATAAATGGAGTAGATACCTACAAGATACTTTGACGCTCAAATTAATAATTGATCAATGAGTTTAAGTTATGATGGATGAGATATTCATGTGGGCTTCATCAAGCCATCATTTATACTAGTTGAGTGATACATTAATATGGCAGCACTTAATATTATTAGTGGATTAAAATGACTTTTGTAGTTTATCCCGTTCGTGTGATGCCTATTTGTGGGTCATATATGTCCTTTAGGTATAATTGGAATCATGTGTCTATCCTTTAGCCACTAACTATTGAGGAGGTTGTGCAATTTTGTGCTGCTATTGCTGTAGTTATATGCCTTTTTGAGGATGTGTATGCACGATGAACATGTTTTGTTATTTCTAAGTCTTTGTTATTGAGCTTCTTACACCATAAATGAGTTAGACCCAATATCCGGGGTAATATGGTTTGATCATTATTTAATTATGCATGAATAAATTGCATAGTCTCAAAAGTTGCAAACAAACATAATATAACAATTTTTTCTAATGATTTCATAACAATAACAATAATAATTAAATTCAAAAACAAATAAAATTAGGATATACATAAAATTGGATTGACCATAAATCGTTCAATAAAACCCAACTCGAAATACAAATTATTTGTTAATTATGAGAGGTAATCGAGTCAATTTAAATACTAGTGATTAAAAGTAGCTGTTTGAATCCCAAAATTAAAAATTCAATCCTTGAAGAAACACTCGAAGATATTTGCCCATCGTCATATTAGATCGAAATTGTGAAAATAATGTATATATCTCAATTGGTTGGATATAAAATTTTAATGTTTCCAATTCGATTAAAACTAACCTGACTCAATCACTGGAGCTCATACGTACAAGTCTAGAGCTTCTAATTTAAAACGGCAAGCAAGTTTTGTGTTTAATGCCCAATAACACCTTTTTTTAGTTTTGGAATATAAATCAACATAAAAATATTTTTACAGTTATTGCAAATAAGTTATCTACATTTACTATCAAAACGACGTCATTTTAGAATTGAAACATTAAAAAATTATAATTATAAAACTATAATACTAAGTGCTAATAATTTATTGGACTTACTGCAGATAATTTATATGTACGGCAGAAAAAACAAATTCATAAAATAATGTCGTTTTTACAATCTATAAAAAGTAAATAAAACCAATCCAATCGAATCCAACCCAAATTACACGCGCAAATTGGAAATCAAGATAGAGAAGATATTATCATAACCAGACAACAAACTAACCAATAAGGCAACGCAAAAAAGCAAAACCCCACTTAAAATAAGATCATAGGTGGTGAGGGGTAACAAGACTAGCATCCAAAATAGTTAAGAGTGTAATAACTGTGCAACAATTATGGAGGAGAAACAAGACAAATTTGAAAAATGTATTAATAAATAAAATTGAGGCCATGAGTGAGGGAGGAAAGCGAGGGAGAGGCACAAAACAACAATCTAACACCAACATAAAGTAAATTACCAAATATCATTATTTTTATTATGAGAAATGATTTTTTTACTCTAATATAAAAATAAAAAATATTAGTCCTCATCTTAGACGTTAATTTTTGTGTATATAGTGATTATAATTTGTTGAATTATATGTAATAACTAATTATTATTCCCTTAAATTATAACTATCAAATGTACGATTAAGATTGAGAGTAAAACTTATTATTACGACCATAAAAAAGATAGCTGCTCATCAAATGATAGTAGTTCAGTTTGTGTCAAGGAACTGAGCAAGGTGGAGTAAGAGCATATGTTCGATCCTCTCCAGTATCATCTTTAAGAGAGGATTTAATACCTTAATCCGGACCCGTCTCGAATCGGATTAGTCACGAAGCGATGAACGGATTGAAATATCTCAAAAAAACAAAAAACGAAAAACAAAAAAAAAGATAGCTCCCCAATTTATTATTATTGTTATTATTATTATATATATATAGGCAAAGAGCCTCAACCTCAAAGCCGAAAACAAAGGCCCTACCCTTTTCTTCACCTCTCAAAATCTCATATCTTTGTTGGTTGTGTTTTCAACCCCCACTCTTCCTTTTTCGTTTTTTCCCGTAGTAAAATGGACCCATCTGCAACAAAACCAGCTCAAATTCTCTCTTATTTCTAGCCACTTTATTCTCTTATTCATAGCCCCATAACAACTTTTTATGCAAAACAAACATATTCTTGTTTTGAGAAGGTGATTGAGAGGTGTTATTTCAACAAACATAAGAATTATATATATATACACAAATATATATACATTTTATTATATATGCAGATGAGGAGGAAGAGGATGCAATGGAGTGATCGAATCCTCATCATCACAACCCTTCTTTTGATTCCAATCATCATTGTTCATGGCATCAATGATGAGAAGGATGAGGATGAGGGTGTGAAGAAAATGAGCCTTGAACTTGTGCACAGGCATGATCATCGCGTTGTTGGTGGGGTGGATCAGCTTGAAGCAATGAAAGGGTTCATTTATAGGGACTTTCTTAGGCGCCAGAGGATGAACCAAAGATGGGGACTCAGAAGCAATGAAAGCCACCATAGAAGGAAGGATTGGGAAATGCTTCAATTCGAAATGCCAATGCATTCAGGAAGAGACTCTGGACTTGGTGAGTACTTTGTGCAAGTTCAAGTTGGAACACCGGGTCAGAAGTTCTGGCTTGTTGCAGACACAGGAAGCGAGTTTACATGGTTTAATTGTAGAGATAATAGGCCTTCAAGAAACCATCATGGTGGTGGTGGTGGTTCACATAAACACAAGGGAGGGTCAAGGACAAGGACAAGGACAAGGACAAGGACCAGGACAAAGACCAGAACAAGAACAAGGGTCAGGTCTAATAATCCTTGTAATGGGGTGTTTTGTCCTCAACGTTCTCATTCATTTCAAACTGTGACATGTTCTTCTCATAAGTGCAAGATTGATCTCAGTGACCTCTTTTCTCTTAGTTATTGTCCTAATGCTTCTGCTCCTTGCCTATATGATTTCAGGTTGGTAAAATGTTCTTACTTCTTTGTCTTTTTTTCTTTTTCTTTTTTCTTTTTTTTGGGGGGGGGGGGGGAGGGGTTAAAAAGTTTTGGTTTTGTTATTGATTTTAGTTTTTTTGCTTTGAATAAAATAATGGGGTTGTTCTGAAAGAAGAAAAGATTTGCAGAATGGGACAACAATTTTTCAGAAAAAGAGAGAGTAAGAAACAGAGTTTGTAACAAGCACTGTTGCCAATTTAAGTCCTTTCTATTTTCTTCTGGAAACAAGTGTTGCTAATGAATTGGGTGAGAGAGAGAGAGAGAGAGAGAGGAGAAATTAAAGGCTATCTTTTTGGACCTCAAATTTAGTTTCTCTTTTGTGGGCGAGAGAGATGACCAATTAAGGCGGTTGGGAGTAATATGTCCTTTTTGAAAAGAATATTAAGGAGTCCAGTTTCCATTTCAAAAACCAACCAGAACATTGAAAGAGGGTTGATTTTGATTTTTAATTTTGTTTTTTTTTCTTGTTCTAAATCTCCCAATAGATGTTCTCACATTTTGTTGGGTATGGTATGATTAAGCATTTCATGGCATGACTCTAGCCACAAGCCCATATTGTCAATGGATTGTTTGGTTTAAGGTTCAAGTGATCTATTTGTTGCACAAAACCAATTCCCCCCCCCCCCCCCCCCCCCCCCCCCCCCCCCCCCCCCCCCCCCCCCCCTTTTAAATTTCCACTTAGCATTATTCTATTAACTACACAACTTAAAGCCTTAAAGGCCCTTTAGAGTGGACTTGAAAGAACAGAAGATTTCTAGCCCTGCAAAGAATTTAAAGTTCTGAAAGAAGTGAGTGTATATTAATAATAAGCCTGTTTATGTCCTTCATAATAAAAGATCTATAATGTGCTTGGTCTTTAGGGTACTTATTAACAAAAAGGTACCTCTCATACACAGACACAAGCACAAAAGGTGTCATGCTCCTGCTGGTGACCCAGCAACCATTCTTTCCAGCATCCAACCATTGGTTATAAATGAGAATTAATGTTAGTAGGTGAGCATCACATGACCCACATTTCTGCATCCAAGTCTTGCGGGAACATAACCCTCTGGTCACACTCTCCCTCCAAATAGTACTTTTACCAAGTTCACCTAGAAAATCCCATCTACATAATTTTTCACATTAATTCTTCCAATCAAAACCAAACCCTCTTCAATTCTGATGAGTTTCTCTTTGACAAAACATGAATTTTATTTTGTCTACTATGTTCAATTATTGATTTTATTTATTTATTTATTTATTTTTTGTTTCTGATCTTATCCTTGACAGCTATGCTGATGGATCATCTGCAAAGGGATTCTTTGGCACTGACACTATCACAGTAGACATCACAAATGGAAAGAAGGGAAAACTGCATAATATGACAATTGGATGCACAAAATCAATGCTTAATGGTATAACCTTCAATGAAGAGACAGGTGGCATATTGGGTCTAGGCTATGCCAATGAGTCATTTGTTGATAAAGCAAGTCTAAAATACGGTGGAAAATTCTCCTATTGTCTAGTTGACCATTTGAGCCATAAAAACGTTTCTAGTTATCTAACTTTTGGTAGCCACAAAGCCAAATTGTTGAGTGAAATAAGAACAACAGAACTTGTTTTGGCTGCTCCATTCTATGGTGTGAATATTGTAGGAATCTCAGTTGGAAGACAAATGTTGAAAATCCCACCTCAGGTTTGGGATTTTGATGCACAAGGAGGCACTATAATTGACTCAGGAACAACCTTAACCACCCTAGTTGATGAAGCCTATGAGCCAGTGTTTGAGGCTTTGAGCAAGTCCCTATACAAAGTCAAGAAGGTTTCTGGGGATTTTGGAGTGTTGGATTATTGCTTTAGTGCTGAAGGGTTTGATGAGAGTGTGGTGCCAAGGTTAGTGTTTCATTTTGCTGGGGGTGCTAGGTTTGAACCACCAGTGAAAAGCTACATCATTGATGTAGCACCCCAAGTGAAATGCATTGGAATTATTGCTATAGAGGGAGGTGGTGCCTCTGTTATAGGCAATATTATGCAACAAAATCATCTCTGGGAATTTGACTTGGCTAAAAATATTCTGGGGTTTGCTCCTTCTACTTGCACCTAGTTATTCTTGTGGTCATTCATTTTCATTTTTATTTTTATTTTTATTTTTATTTTACTTTCTCCCTCATTATGTTGTGGAGACAAACAAGTTAGATTGTTGCTTGTTTTGTTCGAATATGGTCATATTATTCTTTCAGTTTTCTTTTCTTTTCTTTTCTTTTTTTCTCTTTTCAAATGCTTTGTAACATATTACGTGTAAACATGTATCATATGTCTAATTGAAGTTTTATGATGTTCATGATACGTGGCTGGAGACCACAGATTTCGTTGAAGGTACAATATATTGCATATTCACTACCCTCCTTTATCTCTTTTATTTAATTTTTTTTTTTTTTTTACTTTTTTGCAAAGTGAGGAGAAAAAAAAAAAAACTTTCAGTTTACGTTTAGGTAGTGAGAAATTACACACACACACAACATATATATATATATATATATAGCTTTTTTTTTATAGCAAAAGGCCTAGAAGAGTGAATTAGATTTTCGCAATAAACTAACTATGCATGCCAGTTGCCCAACAAGCATTGCTCCTAACTTTGAATAATAGAGAGATGTCACAATCAATCAAATGCTATTTTATGATTTCCGTTAAACGAATAAAAGTAACTGGCGTCTTCATCATTTATTATGTCATCGCAAAGTGTATGTGTTACTTTTTGTTTTTGTTTTTGTTTTTTTTTCGGGAAAGAATGACAAAGAGTATCCCTAAATAAAGGCATATGTTTTCTGTGTAACATGTTGGAGTCCTTATCTCTAAATCTAAAGCAGTATTTTTGTAATCTGGCCGATATTATATACAGAGCCGGAACGGCCTCCCCCAAAATTTGAAGAAAAAAATATATATATATATATATATAAAAAGAGTGCTTAAAGAATTGTTATCCTGATAAGATTATATGCAGAATTTATTGCAGAGTTTTAAAATAGTTTTAATTACAAAAGAGTGTGGGATTAGGATATTGCTAAATTGTTACATACTATTATAAGTTATCTGCAATTGCGATTTAAGAGATGGGTTATGTGTGAAGCCTCATTTATTAAGAACGGTGATTTTGGCGCGGGCTGCATAGGAAAACTAATAAGGGATTAGTTCATACTTTATCATCCAACTCTCACTCTTTATTTTGATTTTTTTTTTTATTATATCTTTCACTTTTCAATCAAAAAAAATATATTGATGGGAGGCAATATAACAAAAGTTAAATTTTCTTTTCTTTTCTTATTTATATTCTTTTATTTTTTAATGCATTTAAAATTTTCTTTAAAAAAAATTGGAGGCCCAAGCACTAAATATGTAGACATAAATAATATTTTATGTGTTGCCAGTGCCCCCTTATGTAAATTCTTGATTCCGCTATTTACCAAAAAAAAAAAAAAATCTTGATTCCGCAACTGATTATATATATATATATATATATATATATATATATATATATATATATAACAAACAGACAAGATTTAAACCGGTATAAGAACAATAAATCTCACGCTCAATTTTAATCATTGATTTCCTTCCATCAAACGATGATTAATTAATTGCATTATTTTCATTAATTAATTATTAAATTCCAATAAATTATAACCGTCAGATATCAAAAATCAACTTTTAAGATTGAGTGTAAGATTTATTATTCTTCTACCGGTGTAAAAAAATCTGTCCCACATATGTATATATATATATATATATATATATATATATATATATATATATATATATATATATCATTACTTCTATTATTTATTATAGGGTAAGGGATTTCTGTAGTGAATAGAGATAAGTTATCTCCAGTGAGCCCAAAATGACGTCGTTTTGGGGGCGAAAATCAAGGTATTTTTGTAATTATAATATATTACAGAGTTATATTAGTCTTTATCATTATAATTTTCTAATCTTATAATCCAAAACGACGTCGTTTTGAGCTCACTGGAGATAACTTTATCTCCGGTGACTGGAGAAATACTTTTCCCTTTATTATATATGTAAACTGTTAGATGTAAACAAATCAATTATTAAGATTTGGTATAAGATTTTTTATTTTTACATTAATACAAGAACAAATTGTCCCATATATATATATATATATATATATATATATATATATATATATATATATTGTTTTATAAGAGTTATGTTGTAGGAAAAGTGATTGTGTAATGTTATAGAGATTCGTTATGCGTGCCGTAGTTTTTTTTTTGCTCTAAAAAGTGTGGACCCCACAAAATGTTGTGTGTGTAGGAAATTTTTTGTGTCATGTGAAATGATAAATGCAAACCCCATATATATATATATATATATATATATATATATATATATATATATATATATATATATATATTTTGACTCTTGTGTAAGATTAATAAGTCTTATTTTCCACTTCAGATGTTAATTTCCATCTATCTAATAATTATAATTTGTTAAGTTATACTTGATTAATTAATTATTAATTTAAAATAAATTATAATTATAGAATGAACGAAAATCAACTGTAGATACTTGATATATATAGGGAATAAGACCTCTCTATCAAACAATTAAGAGATAAAACAATGATATTTTTTAATAATAGCACAACGATATTTTTTAATAAGGGCGAAAATCAATGTATGTGTAGAAAAGAAAAATATTCTCTACGACATAAGAGTATATTTTCCATAGTACAATCGGATTTTTTTATCAACGAAGCTCTCTCGATAAGAATACTTGTCACAAAACTCGACAATTAATAAGTCAATAACAAATCTCATCTATTTCGGAAAAAGTAAATTTACGTGTTGCTGATGGGTTGAGTTTTACGTCTAAATCTATTATGCACCGACATCGACACGGGATATGACATGACACGATACACCGACACGTTAATTTTAAAAAATGTCATATTTTAACACGTTGGGACACGTTTTGATATTAAATAAAAATTTTAATATATATAATATAATTTATATTTAATAATATAACATTTCATAATAAGTCATATAACCAATCAAATATTCAAATTTTATAATATAAATATAAACAAAAATAATTTTTCGTACTTTGTTAATTTTTCATGTCAAATTTCATAATAGAAAAAAATTAATTTATAAATTAATTTTTTGATATTTAGTTAATAAAATAAAATTAAGACTAAAAAAAAGTGTCGGAGCGTTGATCACGTGTCGAAAAAAGTTGACTGCATGTCAAAAAAACGTGTCGAAACGTATCGAAGAGTTGACCGCGTGTCCCAAAATGTTGACCTCGTGTCGGTGTCCGACACGCAAATTTTTTTAAAACTCGCGTGTGCATGCTTCAGAGGTCTAAATCATTTTATGTTATAATATACATCGTACATTACATAGAATCAAATAATGATTTTTTTACCATTATGTCCCTCATTAATTGAAAATTAATTAAATTTTCTCTATCCCAAAAAATTCCATCAATCTATTCCTGTTTGACCATTGATTGAAGATTTAATCGATTACCTCACGGACGTAATCGATTAAACATTTAAAAAAAAAGCTTTGACCATTGATCTTGCAAATTAATCGATTACATTAAAGTAGTGTAATCGATTAACTTGCGTCAGAAATATTTTTTTAAAACCCCCATTTGGCCTAGGAGTTATAAATTGTACCCTAATCGATTAACCCATACCCTAAGCCTTCTCCTCCGTGATTTTTGCCCAAAATCTTGTTGTAATCGTGTGGTGGATTCACAAGAAAACATCATTTGCTTATTCCTCTCACTTATTGGTATGTATTCTTCGGGTTTTTTTTTCAATTTTTGTTCGTTTCTTTTTCTGATTTATGAACCCTAGTTTGATCACAATGGTTTGGTTCAATTGGTTTTTCTGTTTTGCTTTGATTCTTCGGTTTGATGCATGTTTAGTTTAGGTTTTGATGAATGTATATGGTTTAGGGTTTAGGTTTCATAGGTTTTGTTTTTTTTTTAGTCGAATTTTAGTTCTGATTTTTTTATTATATTTGTTGATAAATTATCATATGTTTTGTAGGTTTTCGTTGTTATCATGGCTAGTCGTAAACGATCTTCGACTGCAGTTGGAAATGAAAGATGGACCAAGCAATGCCTAGATCGTCTTTCTTATTTGAGGACACGAGAGGCTGAGGGTGTAGACCTCCCATTTGGATATTTGCTTGATGGCAATGCCTCGCAGCATGCACAATTTATTACTGATCTTTTTAGGAGACCCATTATTGAGCCGAAGTCATTGGATTCAGCATTCTTTTCGTCGAAAGGATTTGATGAGGTCAGATTGTTGGAGGGGTCACATTTGAGAATGTTGGCTGAGATGTCATGTCTGTATTCAGAGGTTTTGGTGAGGGCCTTCTACCATAATCTCAGCTATATACAGGGTGAGCTGAGGTCCTGCATTTGCGGTGTGGACTGTGGACATAGTGATGACGGGTCCGACACGACTTCGATGCAAGTGATGTAGTGGAGTATGATGGATTGATGGGGAAATCAATGCCCCCAATCCTGGATATGTGCAGGGGGACATTGTAGAGGAGACCAAGAAGCATGATATCCCGCGTGGGCAGCATGTTATTTATACTGTGGAGCTGCTTGTTGTGGATGCCTGTATTCTACACTACATCATTACACACATATTGTCCCATGTGCTTTCAATCATGCAAGGGTGCTGAAGGGTGACTTTCCTCTTTTGTTTGCTATTTATCGCAACATATAGGTGAATTGAAGGCACTATATTTGCTGGCTTATGTATAAGGCCAAGCATAAGGGTGCACTTCCATATAGCTGCCTGGTTCAAAGAATATTGGAGCATTTTGATGTTCCCATCGAGATTGAGCATATGAAGACGCTCACTAGCTATATAGCTGCCTAGTTCAGAGGATATTGGAGCATAAGGGTGCACTTATTTGTATTTCTTATACAGCTGAATGCCATCAATTTGAAGTATGGGCTTACAGTATTTGAAGGCCTCAATGCACCGGTGAAATGTCCAAAAAAACTATGAAAGACGACCTTGTGAGTATAAATTCG